GTAGTAGGGGGATTAAGTTAGTGGCAATTAAAATGGAGAGCCTGTGCAGGTGACCGCTGGCCCTTCAGTTCACGAACAGAGAGCAGGAAAGAAAGATGCCAGGAGCCCAGATCTGTTCCTTGTGTTGCTCTAGGAGTTGCCCTGCATGGGTCTCTCTCAGGGGGCTGGGGGAGCTGAGGTTACTCTCAGGGGTGGGATTTAAGCGATTCAGGGTCTGGGAAGTGCAGTTTAATCGTAAGGAAGGTGGTAGGAGAGCTGCATGCAGAAGGAACCCTGTTCAGGCACATGGTGTACAAACTTGGAGTCGTATGTTAACTTGTTTTAAAATTTTTGTTGTGTTTTGAGAAAGGGTCTCAGGTAGCCCAGCTAGCCTCAAACTCACAAGTCGAGGGTGACCTTGAACTTCTGATCCTCTTGCTTCCACCATTCATGTGTTGGTATTGCAGGACACACTACCATGCCTGAGGGTTATTAACAGTCTTGTGACCATATGAGAATTTAATTTTTTTAAAAATTCAGAATCCTTTTAGCCAGAGGACATTTCTCTCTATCGATAAACATGACATTAATTTTTCCATTGGTCAGGTTAGTTCCAAGAGACAATAGGTCAGATTGAAGTCGAATTTGGAAAAGTCCCAACAAAAGCAAAGGGGGCTATAAAAAAAAAGAAAGAAAAGGAACTTCCCTTACAGTCTGACCAGGAAATGACATCAGTCTCTTTTGCCACCATTTAGTGCATACACAGGGTGGCCCTTCCGTGAGTGGCAGAGGCCACACTTATTTGCAGCTTCAGATTTTGCAGATGTGTCATTCTCTGACACTATTAACTATCTGTTGACTTGGGTGAATGTTACTTCCAGGGACCAAGGAGGGGCGGCATCTGTCTCCATCGACAAAATGATCACAAGTTACTTGGAGTGCAGGAGTTGGGGGTGGTTGGGGCTCACAGCTCCAAGACCCTGCTTAGCCTCAACATCTGATCCAGCATCAGTGACTCCCATTCCAGGGAAAATGTTGCCCTTCTGTTTTTCTCTTCCCAGACCGGAGTTAGCGGCCTCACTGCTCTGCATCTGGGTGACACAGGAGATAATTGCAGCCTCTTTTGGTCCAGATAAGCTGCACTTTCCCAGCTGGGCTGCCCTTTGAAGTCCAGACAGTTTCATGATAATTGATAATCTAATCTCAGCCCAGGCTGTATGCTTTTCCCCCCTTTCTTCACAGGCTGCTGTGCAAGCAAGGGAATTATTACAGCATTCGTATTGATTGCCTCTGGAAGAGGTCACTGTGTGGGGATTGCCCTGTTAGCACGAGGTTCTTGTGAAAGGAGAAATCTTGGTGAGACCGGAATAGCTACTGGAGGCCTAGTTAGAGTGGGGCGGAGAGTTAGTAGGGCCAGGAGAAACGACTTTTCATTCTCCTGCCTCGAGGCTATACATGGCAATTACTGCTGCAGAGGCAATAACGAAGTTGTTAATTACAGGTTTATACCCTTGTAGCCAAAGTAGGAATGAAGGGACTAAAGGTTACAAAGTGGCACTTAAAAAAAAGTTATAGGTGATTTCTTCTTTTTCCTTTTTAGTGGAATAAATTAATGGTCAGGATCTAGCGCAATGTCGAACAGAACTCTTAGAGACATCTTATTAGAATAATTAAATTTGTCTATACCCTCCAATTTGCTTTTCCTAACTGGCCATTCTGTTTTTATTTTCCTCAATTGTCTCTTGAAGTCTTTCAGATGTGGGATGAAGGAGGAGGGCTGCAACATTGTGCTCACAGAGACCAAAAGACGTGCTGTCACTTATTAACCCCGGTTCCTCTAAGATTGAGGAGTCCCACTGGGTCCCACTTGATGGGAGACCATGCCCTCAGCCTGGCCTCATAAAGCCACCTGTCTTTGTGCCCAGCATCTCAGCCCCTTCTTTGGAAAGTTACAGGAATCCCTGGACATGGCTTCTAGATGACATCTCTTTTGGTCTCTGAGTGATTCACTGCAAGTTATCATAGAAGCTGACCCTTTGGTCTGGGTTATAGCACAGCTGATAGAGTGCTTGTCCAGCACACACAAAGCCAAAAGTTCAGCCTTCAGCACTGCCTAAACATGGTGTGTTGGTGCATGCCTGTAATCCAGCAGTTAAGAGGCAAAGACAGGAGGGCCAGAAGTTCAAAGTCAGTCTCAACTACAGACTAAGTCTGAGGCCAACTTGGAATACATGTGATCCATCAAAACCAAATACTGCCCCCACCAAATCTAAACAACAACACAACCACGTGCAAGTCCCACCCGAAGCCATCTGTGTTATCTGTATTTTGTGACTCTATGATTGACAAGAGCTTGTTGCATGCTTCAAAATAGCCACTTGAGAGGGTTTTGAAGAATTCTAACCCAAAGAGGGTGTGTTTGTGGCAATAGGAATGTGCCAGCTATGGCCCACCATACAGAGGAAGTAAAATGCCACTCAGTGCCCCGTAAGCAAGTGTGATATTCATGCACCAATTAAAAGTAGAAAAATCTCACACCCCAGCCAGAAGCCCACCTGCTCTCCCTGAAGATGTGTGTGCTCTGGTCCCTCCCACTACCTACCAAGCTTACGCTTGTAGTGTTGTTCCCAACATGCACTTTCAGCTCCTAAGGGGTGGCCCTTCCTTTTCATCCTCAAATCTCCAGTCTCCTACACAGGGATGGCAGACAGTAGGTACTTGCAAGTCTTCATCAAACCAGTGGCCAAGCTCAGCTCCATGAATGCTTCTGCATGCGAGTCATGCCCTGAGTGAAGACAGGAAAAATTCATTCTGGATAACTTGCTGCTGGTTTAACTTGTTCGTTCAAAACTGAGGGTGTGGCCAACACAGCTGCTGCTAGCTTTGAGGAAAACCCTCTATGATGAGTTGTTATAAACATACTTAGGGCCAGTTTGAGGAGAGGGTGAGCAGCTATTTATGTGGGGACAAGTGATGCTGCTGGCTCTGTGAGTTTCCTCTGGTGACTTTGGTTCCTGGAAGGAAAAAAAAAGATGTCACAGGATACTCACGGTTCTCTGTAGAAGGCTGGCTGCTGGAAACTGAGGCAGGTGGAGGTGACTGGATTATATGCTCTCTGTAAGTAGGTCCTCTGTCTGATGTGGGGACTCTGGAGAGATCAGGGTGAGCTCTGCCAGCGGATACACAGAAGTCAAACTCTCGAAGCTCTGGGAAATGGTTACAGAAACGAGAGTGACATCACCAAGGACCTTGGCAAGATGCTAACTGCTCTCCAAGGATCCCTCATCCAGCCTTAATCAGAGAGTGAAGTTGCCTGTAAGGGATCACCTCAGGGACCAGCTCTTGGGGGGTCTCAGTGAACACTAGCCCAATAAGCCTTTTCCTCTGCAAAGCTGCACCTCTTCCTGCTGGAAGGGCTGCTTCCATAGCAGAAATGTTATTTTGGTTTTACATAATTCATTATACTCTGTGTGTGTGTGTGTGTGTGTGTGTGTGTGTGTGTGTGTGTGTGTGTGTGTGAGCACGTGCATGTGTGTGTGCTCATGGTGTGCGCATACATGTGTAGGATAGAGGTTAGCCTCAGAAGTCATTCCTCAGGTGTCATACTTTGAGACAGTATCTCTCATTGGCTTGGAAGGCTAGGCTGCTGGCCAGTACGCCCCAGGAATCTGTCATCTCAGCACAAGTATGCCTAGGCATGTTTGCCTTCTTCACTGGGTCCTGGGGAGTAAACTCAGGTCTCCACACTTGTATCATAAGCAACTTCCCCTTTCAAAAATCATTTGCTCACATTGTTTGCCCATTCACATAGAAGTCTTGGTGAATTTTATTTGTGCATGTTGCTCCCATATTAAGGATATTGTTTGCTCATAATGTTGCCTGCTTGCTTTTTGTATATTGTGATTAATTATACTATGTCAGGTTCTTCACTTTCCTGTCCTATAAAAGTATGCTCAGCCCCTCCCCAGATGTTCAGTGGGGCCATCCACACAAGTGGCATTCATGCTCTCTGTCATGACAAGACGTGGCCCCTTCTGACCAGGATCCAGTGTCCCACATCCAGAGATGGAATAGGAATAAAGCCAGAAGGCAACATGTCCTGCTACTGTGTGGAATTCTCTTGTCTTGATGGCAGAAAGAAGTCCCAGGAACCTTGCAAGAGCCTCCTTCCAAATTCTGCTAAGTGGGGGCAAGGCCTCAAGCTCTGATTCTGGGCTCTTTCTTCCCAGCACCCATTTTGACTAAATTTATAGGGAGTATTACAAGACACATCCTTCCCATGGCCGGAAGGTTCTTTGATTGCTTGCAGAAATTTGGACTGGATAGCAGTAATATTTTTATTTTATTTTACATATCTTACCCACAGAGTCTTGCAAAACTATCTGGGACAGTGTGACAATGCCCTCAAAAACCGGATGTCCTCTTTTTGGCCATTCCATCTGGCTCCCCATGTCAGAGACACATTGCTTTCCTTCTAAGGCTGACTGTCTGTCTGTGGCCATGCTGTGTCAGCGTCCTCCAGCTGCAGAAGGATCCAGTGCCCCTGGCCTCCAAGGACACCTGCACTCACAGGCATACATCCACACAGATTCACGTACATACACACCATTAGAAGATGACAAGACAAATCTTTAAAAATTAGACTGAAAATGTTCTCTATTTTTATGTTCTGAAAGAGTTAGTTTACCATGAGAATTAGTAATTTTATGAAAAATACTTTTTTAATGTCAGGATGCCTGCCTTTTTCTTTCCCCTTTCTTCCCTTCCCTCCTCCCTCCTTCCCACCCATCTTTCTTTTTCCTTTTCTTCCTCATCTCTTGTTCTCTCCCCCTGCCCTTCCTTCCTCCTCCCCGCCTTCCTCTCTTTGTTTCTTCCTCTCTTCCTTCGCCCCTTCCTTCCCTTTTTTCCTTCTTTCCTTCTCGCCTTTTGTCCCTCCCTTTCGCTGCTTCTGCAGCCATGAATTTAACAGGCTTTGAACTTTCATTCCTAGAATTTGATATGTATCATTCTTGTCATTTCAGAAAAGACACGGAAAATGACACTCACGAACTCTCCAACCCTGTCACTTGGGAGAATAGACCTTTTCATCTGCACTTGGGACTTCCGCAAAACCAGTTTATGCTAAGGCACCAGCGAGTCACAGGAAGCCCAAGCTTTGGTCTTCCTGAAAGTAAAATAGGCAGAACTAATATTGAACTAACCCACTCTTGACCCCTTGGACATGAGAAAGCTCTCTCCTGCGCCATCTGGGTCCTTTCCCTTTCTCTAGAGCAAGTTTCCCCAACATATCTGCTTGTCTTGCTGTTTTCCCTTTTCCCTGGGCTAGAGCTAATGTTTCCTGGCCTGAAGTGTTTGTCCCCATCTTCTAGAAGACACGAGGGCCTGTGGTGCCTAGCTTTCCTGCCCAGCATACCCTGCTCTGTAGGCTCCTTTTGCCTGTGGTGATGAACTGGTTTGACTGTCTGAGATGGTATCTGGTGTGCTCATTTCTTGCTTGTGAAAGGCATTTCAGCCCCCCACCCCCACCCCACTGCAGGTCTTCTGGCCTTCCAACTGCCTTGTGTCATTTCATTGATGATTGGTACCAGGACTGTGGAGCATTGTGGGTCTGGAAGAGCTCTGTGAAGGACCCTGGGCCTGTATCTCTTTTTTACTTTCTATGTTACTTTCTTTAAGCCTTTTTATTGAGAATGTTTTAATATAATATATTCTGTTCATTTTTTTCCTCTCTCAGTTCCTTTCAGATCTCCCTGTCTACACAACCTGGTGTTCTTTTTCTCCCTCTTTCAAAAACAAACAAACAAACAAAAAACCAAACCCAAAAGACACCCAAGAAACACAAAAAACCCCACAAACAAAACCACAAAAAGGAAAATCATACAAACAAGCGAAAGACTAATAAGACAAAAATGCTTGAAAAAGTGAGATGAAATAAAAAATACCCCAATACTATGAAGTTTGTTTTGCATTGGCTGGGCATGGGGCCTTCCCTGAAGTGTAGATGGTATACCTGGTGAGACTTCATTGGAGAAAACTCTTTGCCAGTAGCTCCCAATTGCAGGTAGCTTCTTGGTTAAGGGTGTTTGACCCTGTGTCCACCTCCCCATCTCAGTGCTAGGACCCTGTCTGACCTAAACCTACTTAAGTCTCATGCATGCTGCCTGCCTGTCTATGTGAGTTTATGTGTACTCTAGTCCTGTTGTATCTAGAAGAGTAACTGTTCACCTTTCCCCATATCCCAGCCAATATGTGCTGCCATTTGTTTTATTGATCTTGGCCATTCTGGCAGGGATAAGATGAAGTCTCAAAGTCATTTAATTTGCATTTCCCTGATGGCTAAGAATATTGAACATTTTGATGTTTCTTAGCCATTTATTTCATCTTTTGAGAATTTTCTGCTTAGTTATGTATCCCATTTTTGATTGGGTTTTTTGTTTTCTTGATGGTAAGTTTTTTTTAGTTCTTTATGTATCTTAGATATTACCCCTCTATCAGATGTATAATTGGTAAAGATATTTTTCCATCCTGTAGGTTGCTACGTTGACTGAATGATGGCATTCTTTGCCATACAGAAGCTTTTCTAATTTATTAATTGTTGGTCTTAGTATCTGCACTATTTGTGTCATGTTCAGAAAATACTTTCCTTTGCAATAAGTTCAAAGCTATTCCCCACTTTCTCTTCTATCAGATAGAGGGTATCTGATCCTTGGTCCATTTGGAGCTGACTTTTGAGCAGGATAATAGATATGGATCTACTTCAACTCTTCTACATGCAGTCATCCAGTTTGACCAGCACCATTTGTTGAAGATGCTGTCTTTTCTGCAGTGTGTATTTCTGGATAGGGGTGTGAACTTATGTCTGGATTTTCAGTTCAATCCCATTGATCACTCTGTCTGTTTTTATGTTAGTCCCATGTTGTTTTTATTACCATAACTCAGGAATACAACTTGAAATCTAGGATGCTGCTACTTCCACAGCAGTTCTTTTATCATTTAGGCATGCTTTAGCTATCCAGAGTTGTTTGTGTTTCCATATGAAGCCGGAAATCATCCTTTCAAATTCTGGGAGGAATTGTGTTAGGATTTTGATGAGGATGGCATTGAATCTGTAGATTGCTTTTGGTAGGATGCCCATTTCCACAATGTTAGTTCTACCATTCCACAAGTACAAGAGATCTTTCCATTTCTAGAAGTCTTCTTCAGTTTCTTTCCTCAGTGTCTTAAAGCTTTCATCATACAAATCTTTTACTTGCAGGCTTGAGTTACTCCATTGTATTTTATTTTATTTTTTTGAGGAGATTGGGAAAGGTATTATTTCTCTGATTTTTTTCTCGGTCCATTTGTCATTTGTATATAGGAAGCTATGTTTTTTTTGAGTATTAATTTTGTATATACTACTTTGCTGGAAGTGTCTATCAGCTATAAAAGTTTCCTGGGGGAGATCTTAGGGTCTTTTATGTATAAAATAGTATCACCTGCAAATCAGGATAATTTGACTTCTTCCCTTCCTATTTGTATCCCCTGATCTCCTTCAGTTGTCTTCCTCTGTAGCTAAAACTCAATACTTTGTTGAATAGATATGGAGAGAGTGGGTATCCTTGTCATGTTCCTGATGTTAGTGAAAAATTCTTTGAGTTTCTTTCTGCAAGTTTTTATTGTAAATTTGCACATCTATATTCATAAGGCATATAGGTCTATAATTTCATTTTTTGTTGTATCTTTGTGTGGCTTTGTTATTAGGGTAATAGTGGCTTCATAAAGAGAACTAAGAAATGTTCTTCTTGCAAATGGATGGAACCCAGATCCAGAAAGACAAACATGGTATGTACTCACATGTGGATATTAGCTGTAAAGTAAAGGATATCCAGGTTACAATCCCCAGATCTAGAGAGGCTAGGTAAAAGGAAGACCCAAGGGGGGTTGCATGGATCTCCCAGGGAAGGGGAAATAGAAGAGATTTGGTGGTTGGACTGGCAGCAGATGGAAAGGGGAACATGAGGGATCAGGTTTCAGGGGGTGGGTGGAGGGGAAGAGTACTGAAATATATGACTGAAAACAGGGTGCATTTTGGAGTCAGGTAGAAACCCAGCGCAAGGGAAACTCCCAGAAATCTACAAGACGACCCCGGCTAAGACTCCTAACAACGATGGACAAGTAGCCTGAACTGGCCATCTCCTGTGACTGGGTGGGACTTCCAGTGGAGAGATTGTGGCACTGGCCCAGCCACACCACCTTTGACCTCCAGTCTGTCCTACCTATGGAAAGCATGAGGGGGAAAGATGGCATGGATATTGTGGAAGTGGCCAAACAAATAACTGGTCCAGCCTTAGACCCATACCAGGAGAGTGAGCTCACCCCTGACATTGCTTAGAGTGTTGGGACCCAGAGGCTGAATGGCCCATAGACCTAGGATAGAACCAAATACAACTGGAGAAAAAGTGTCAACATAAGGATTCCTAATGATATTCTGCCATACTCACAGACTGGTGACTACTCTAATTGTCATCAGAGAGCCTTCATCCAGTAACTGATGGAAACAGATGCAGAGACCCACAGTCAAGCATTGGACTGAGTTTGCGGCATCTTGCTGAAGAGAGGGAGGAGGGATTGTATGAGCCAGGTAGGGGATGGGGGATCAAGGACATCACAAGGAATCCACAGAAACAACTAATCTAGGCTCACTCAAAGGAGCATAGGAGCTCACAGAGTTTGGACTGGCAGCGAGGGAGCCTGCATGGGACTGACTTAGGCCCTCTACATGTATGATGGTTGTGTAGTTTGGTCTACTTGTGGGATTTCTAGCAGTGGGAGCAGGGGCTGTCCCTAACGCTTTTGGGAACCTATTCCTTATACTGGGTTGCCTTGTCCAGCCTTAATAAGGGAAGGTGTTTAGTCCTGCTGTAACTTGATATGTCATGCTTTGTTGACACCCACAGGAGGCCTGCCCTTTCTGAATAGAAATAGAAGAGGAGTGGATGGGGGAAGGGGGTTACAGAGGAGGAAGTGAGGGAGGGAATGGGAGGCGAGGAAAGATGTGGTTGGGATGTAAAATAAATGAATAATTACTAAAAAAGAAAGAAAACAAAATTTTCTTTTTTCTTTATCTTTTTCAATGATTTGTAGGTTTGGTCTTTTCATAGTGTCTCAGATTTCTTTGATGTTTTGTAGAGGGATTTTTTTTTTTTTTTTAAATTTACCATTTTCTTTAACTGAGTTATCCATTTCTTCTACCTTGTCTTCAAGACTTGAAATTCACTTTTCTATGTCTTGTCTCATTTTTAACCTCTGAGGTTTTTGTTTAACATTCTACATTTTTCATTTCCCATTCTATTTCAGCTTGGGCTTTATTTTTCAAAAATCAGTCTACTTTTGCGTTTTGATATGTTTTCATAATTTTATTTTACTCTTTGTGTTTTCACAGTCTTCATTAATGTATTTTTTTCATATCTTTGTTAAGGTCCCTGAACATATTCATAACTGCCATTTTGAAGTCCCAGTGAGACTGCATTTCTCAGGGCTGATTGTAATAATATTACTGACTTCTGGAGGAGGGATTTTGTCTTATCTGCTCATCTTTTGTGTTTTGCATTGGGGTTTAGGCATCTGGAGTTACGATGTTTGAGATGTCTCTTGGTATAAGTATGTAGTATTGTCTTTATTCTTTGGTTTCTGTTGCTGGATCTTAGGCAAATGTGGTGCCTGTAGGATCCTCGGTAGATGGAGCTTCTGCAGTTTGAAGGTGACACAAAGTAAGAGATGGGCGTGGAGGAAAGTCTGAGAGTTGGGGGAGTCCCCGGGAGTAGACGTAGGGAAGGAGAAGGGGCTCCTGCAGGTGTGTTGCTTCAGGACTAAGAGTGATTCTGGGAATACAGGAAGGGAAAGGGCAGGGACAGTGAAAACCTCTTACTTGTTTCCTGGCCAAGGGTGGCTACTGGGGTGCTTTGTAGAAAGTATTTCTGAAGCTTGGAGGTTGACACAGGAAGTGGAGATGGGATAGAATGGAAGGCCGAGAGGTCAGTGGGAAAGAGGTAGAGAGATCAGGGCCTAAACCAAGATGGTGTCCCTAGCATCTGGAGTTGGGATAGGAAGAGGGGTTTCTGCAGGCAGACTGCAGTAGGATAAAGAGTAAATCTGGAGAGACATGAGTGAAAAGTTAGTAAGGTTATTGCTATGATAAAACACCATGACCCAAAACAACTCGGGTGGAAAGGGTTGACTTCAGCTTACAACTCTCAGGTCACACTCCATCACTGGGAGATGTCAGGCCAGGAACTCAAGCCAGGAACCTGGAAGCTGAACTCTATCACCTGCTTTAAGCCTCTCTAAAGTCACATTTGGAAATACCTCAGTTGAATGTGCAGTGGAGACCACTTTCTGGGTACTTGGGGCAGGGTGTTGTATGGGTATTCCTTCTGAATCCTGGTAAAACAAACATGATATGGAAGTTAATGATTTATATTGGTGGTTCTCAATCTGTGGGTTGTCACCCCTTTTGGGGGTCAAACAACTCTTTCACAGGGGTTGCCTAAGATCATCGGAAAACACAGCTATTTATTTACATTATGATTCATAATAGTATCAAAATTACAGTTATGAAGTAGCAATGAAAATAATTTTATTGTTTGTGGTCACCACAACGTGAGGAACTGTATTAAAGGGTTGCAGTATTAGGAAGGTTGCATGTCAGCTGCTTTCTATATCTAGAGTCTTCCTATGTGTCAAACCACCATTTTCTTAGGACTATTATAAAGCCATAGGCAATGAGGGAGGGACACGTAGTTGGCCCTTCTGAATCCTTGGATGTCTTTGTGTCCATGTCACTGCTCACATGAGGTGGTGGTCTGAAAGAAAATGGCCCCCAAGAAGAGTGGCACTACTAGGGGTATGGCCTTGTTGGAGTAGGGATAGCCTTTTTTGGAAGAAGTGTGCCATAGTGGAGGCAGGCTTCGAGGACTCATATATGCCCAAACCATGTCCAGTGTCTCAGTTCACTTCCTGTTGCCTGCCTATCAAGATGTAGGACACTCAGCTCCAGCACCATGTCAGCCTGCACACTACCATGTCCTACCATGATGATAATGTACTGGACCTCTGAAACGGTAAGCCACTCTATCAAATGTCTTCCTTTATAAGAGTTACAATGGTCATGGTGTCTCTTCCCAGCAATAGAAACCCTGACTAAGACACATGATATACATAATCACCACTGTCCAGTTGTTCAGCCATATCTGTAACACAGAAAGAGGTAGTGGGCCTCCTGTTGTCTGTCTTTGAAGATTAGTTTTTATTTTCTTCCCCTATTCTGTGGGACAGGAGTAGAGGTGGTATAGAATGGCTGTGCTGGGATGTCTCTGGTGATGTTGACAGGCCTCCTCTGGATGCTGGGGTCTAGCTCTAGTGGGGGGAGGTAGAACTGTGTGTGTTGAATTCATCGACTGTTGGGTGGGTAGAAACTGTCCAAATCACTGTCCTGGAGCAGACATTGGTCTGGCACAATGGATGCTGTACTCTGACTGCTTTGCTACGTACACTGCAGCTCATACATACAGCCACCTGGTTTGGAGAGCACCATTTCTTAGTACAGTCTAATGCTCTAATAAATGCTACTTTACTCTCTGAGAAAGAAAGAACTTTATTCCCAGGGATATGACTCCTGGGACCAATTCCTGCTGTGTGGAGATGGGTGAGTGTGTTTGCACTGCAGCTCAGGGCCCAGGGTCTTTCCAGCATGGAGGAGACTAACCCAGGATGCAGGAGGCAGGGGACCTCTTAGGTCTCCTCATCCTGCACCCATCTGTGTGCAGAGTGGGGTCCTGTAGCAGGTCTGTGTGAGCCTCAGTGTGCTGTTCTGAGTTCCCTGCAAATGAGAGTGCATTCTGTGTGCCAGTTGGATTTGTGTCCGACTTGGAAAGGAAGAAATAAACTTCTGTTTATAAACACTATGATCTTATATGTGACCCCCTTCAGTTTCACAAAAATGTTAAAACTAACAATAAACTCAGTGAAGCATCAGGCTATAATGTCAATGCATTAAAAGCTCAGCTGATTCTCTTTCTTTTATTATACTGGGGATTGAACCCAGGGCTTCACACATGTTGGGCAAGTGCTCTCTACCCCTGAGCTACAGCCTGCTTCATTAGTTGTCTTTCTCTCCACCAACAATGAGCAACCTGACAAGGAGCTGAGAGAACAATTCTGCTTCCAATAGTATCATGAAGAATAAAATACTTAGGGATGAGCTTAACCAAAGAAGGAAAAGACTTACAAGGTGAATTTGACAAAGCATTGCTGGAAATATCTAAAGAGACGGAAATGAATGGAAAGACATCCCATGTCAATAGACTGGAAGACAGTATTGTAAAAATGTCAATACCACCTCAGCTGAGCTCAGTCTCAGTAACATCTCTATTAAAATTTGAGTGGTGCCTTGTGCAGAAATAGAAAAATCTACCTTAAAATCAACATGGAGTCTCAGGGAATATGGAGTAGGCAACAATCTTGAAAAGGACAAAGTTGAAAGAATAGTTCTTACCAACTTCAAAATTTCCTGTAAAGCCACAGAAATTAAAGCAACACAGCAGTGACATGGAAGCAGCTATCAGGACATGGAGCACCCAGAAATAACCTTGACATATGTAGTCAAGTGACTTTCATCACAGTGCCAAGGCCGTCCTATAGAGAGAGAATAGTTTGCACAATTGATGCTGAGGGAAGTGGAATTCCGATGGCTGAGTTTGCCCCTGAGGAGAAGGGATCTACAAATCACATATTTAATGAGGGATATGCAAACACACCTAGAACTAAATTTAACAACCCAAACC